CCCCCCCCCGGCCCCCCGCCCGCCCCCCTCCCCTCCCCCACCCCGCTCTGCCCGCCTCTCTGCCGCCCGCAGGTTGGAAGATCGAGGAGAAGATGCTGGGGGTCCTGGCCAAGAGCCTGCCGGCCCTCGCCCACCTCCAGGCCCTGCAGTGAGTGAGCGGGCGGGCGGGGCGGGGGGAGGCGCGGCGGGGGCTCTCTTGCTCCGGACAGCCCGGCTCTCTTCCGCCCCTGCAGCCTCTGGAAGGTCGGCCTGAGCGACCTTGCCTTCGGCTCCCTGCTGCCCGTGCTGGCCGCCTGCGCCAACCTCAAGTAGGTGCCCCCACCCCGGGGCTGGGGAGGGAGGGAGGGAGGGGAGGGCGGCTGGGCATGGGGGCCCTGCTTCTCCTCTTGCCCTGCAGGACCTTCGTCTTGGAAGGGAACCCGCTGCCCGAGCGCTCCTTCTACAAGCTGCTTTCGGAGGAGAGCAGGTGAGGCCGCAGAGCACAAGGACCCCGGTTGCCTGGCGAAACCCCCCCCTCCCCTGCCGGGCTTTCCCTGGTGAGCACCCAGGAGGAGCCCAGGCTGGGGGAGAAGGGGCGCCCCCCCTCCCCTGCCACGGCCCTGCCTCTCTCCCCAGCTTGGCCCACCTCTCCCTGCGCAACAACTGCATTGACGACCAGGCGGTGCTGCTGATCGGCCAGGGGCTCTCCTCGCTCCGCAGCTCCAACAAGAACCTGGTCTCCATCAACCTCAGCTACAACCACATCACAGATGCGGGCGCCACCCACCTCGCCAACGTGAGGCTGCTGGGAAAGGGCCCCTGGGCTCTGCTTGGCAGGCCCGCCGGTTTCCCCATTGAGGACCAGCTGTGGGGGGGGGGGGGCATCCCTCTGCTGCGGGCCGGGGGGGGGGGCCCACCCGGGGCCCGGGGGGGGGGGGGGGACTGGCGATTGAGCCTGGCCTGAGGTGCCCCTCCCTCTGTGCAGGGCCTGCGCCTCAACAGGTCCCTGCTGTCTTTGTCGTTGGCGCATAACCAGATTGGGGACGAGGGTGCCATGAAGCTGGCCGAGGTCAGTCCCTTGGAGGAGCCTGGGCCCAGGGAGACCAGAGGGCAGCCACAAGGGGTCTCTCAGCCAGCTGCTTGCCTTGCAGGTGCTTGGCCCCTTCGCCCTCACCCACACGGAGGTGGTGGAGAGGCGGCGGTTGCTGCTGGAGAAGGAGGCCCAGGAGAGAGGCCGCCTGGTGAGTGGCTGGTTCTGGGGCTCCGGCCTGTGGGGGAGGCTGAACTGGCAGAGGCACCCATGCAAACTGTGAATTGGGACCCCCCCCTGCCCCCTTTGCCTTCCGCCAGCCCCAGAGACACTCAGAGCTGAAGAGCGACCGTCCCGCCAGCCACGTCAGCAGCACCACCATCGACAAGCTGCAGGCTGCCAAGGGCGCCAAGGGCGTCAAGAAGAAGGCGAGCCATCCCGAGGACAGGGGGCAGGTCTGGGGGAGGGGGCACCCAGAGAGGGTAGAGCACCTCCCTGGCAGGCAGAGACCAGCGTCTGACCTCTTCCAGGAACCCACCAAAAAGGAGGAGAAGGGCCCAGTGGGCGGAGCAGCTCCCGCACAGCCACCGGCGGCGCCAGCGGCCCAGGCCAAGAAGGAGGACGCCAAGCAGTCCAAGAAAGGTTCTGGCTGGGCTGCCAGGCCCCTCCCCCTCCCCAGGCCTTGGAGGCCTCCCCCAGACCCCTGAGCTCCGTTGTCTCCCGCAGCTGCCCCCCCCATTGATCCCAAAGCGAAGTGGGCCAAGGGAGTGAAGCTGGGCTCGAAGGACAAGCGGTCCCAGGTCCTGGAAGTGGAGGTGAGCCCCCCGAGCCGCCCCCTAGCCAGACGCTTAAGTGGTGGTGTGTGTATGTGTGTGTGTGTGGGGGGGATCCATAGCTCTCCTGTCCCAACTACTGTACCTGCCTGGCTTGCCCCCCCTCGCAGCAAATCCTGGAGCCCACCGAGATGATGAACCCCCTGCTGGAACCAGCCGAGCACCACGAGGGGCAGGTCTTCCTTCAGGGGAACCGCGTTCTGATCTACCTGAACCTCATGCGTAGGTTGGGGGGGGGGGGGGCGGGGCTGGGGGGGGGCTCCAAGATGGAGGAAGGCGCTTCACCCAGAGGGTCGCCCTCCCCTCCTTGCCTCCCAAGGAAACCGCATCTCGGAGAACGGCTTGAAGGCCTTCCTGGCCACGGTGGAGTACCAGGTCAGCCGGATCCTTCCTGGGGGCAAGGGGCCAACCGGCCTGCTGCATCTCACCCTGGCGGTGAGTCCCTCCCTGCCAATCAAGGGGGGGGGGGAACAGCCCTCTTCCCTGCCGGCCGGAGCCCCCCGCCGCCCGGGGGCCCCCCCCCCCCGTGCACCCCCCCCGGGGGGGGCGCCCCTCCCTGCCAATCAGGGGGGGGGGGGAACAGCCCTCTTCCCTGCCGGCTGGAGCCCTCAGCCTCACGGGGGCCCCCCCTTTCTGTTGACCCCCCCAGAAAAACCTCTTCCCGGCCGAGAGCAAGACCTACGCCAGGATCCAGGAGCTCATGGGGCCCCGAGACCCCCTACCCAGGGCCTCCAGGCCAGAGGAGGAGCTGCTCACCGCTGCCCAGTAAACCAAGCCAGCTTCTCCCCGAGGATCCTGCACCCAGAAGCTCTAGGCCCAACCTCCCGGGTGGAGCCCCCAGGACTGGCACCGGCGGGCAGACCAGCCCCCTCACTCAAAGGCTCTCCCCCCCCCCCCAAGGCTGCAAGGACGGAGCCCGGCCTTCCGCCCATTAAAAGCCCCACGAGAGACCCTGGAGTTTTTCTTCTGTGTTAAGACCCTGCCAACGCTGGTGGGGCCAGAGGAGCTTCCACCTCAGCCACCGGCACCCCCCTCCTCTCCGGCTGGCTGGCCCAGATCTAGGGGTCTCCACAGCCCACCTCTCTGCTTTTCAACCCAAAGACTTTTGCTGGCCACGCACCAGGCTGGCGTGCCGATGCATGCTCCGAGCCCTGGGAGGAAAGGAAGCCCCTGCTTGCTCAGAGGCCCTGCCCAGGCCCCCCTCCCTTCTTCAGCCTTTAGCGCGGCTCTCTCTGGGCCTTCCACGACCTGCTGCTTTTAAATGGGAAAACAGGCCACTCTCACCTGCAAGAGGTTGAAGAATATTTTATTTTTCTGTTGAAAAATCTTTTAGTGCTGAAAGCAATAAAACCTGCTTTCAGTGTGTAACTCTGGTGCGCCCGTGGCACAAACTCTGGGGGGGGGGGGGGGGGGGGGCCCGTGTGAACCGGTTGGCAGCAGCCTGGGAAGAGCCAGGGGTCGCCTCTGCTTCCGCAAGCAGCCTTCCCAGCCCCAGAAGGGCCAGGCCCTTCACCGGAGCCTCGGAAGAAGGAATGGAGACAAGTTAAAAAGAAAAGAAGAAAAAAAGGGGTGGGTGGGGAACAACCATCTATGGTATTTACACAACCTCAATGCACATACATACATATTTATACCCGATGAGAAGGTGGGGGGGAGAGAAGACGTTAAGGAAAACAAAAGTGCAATTATACACAATATACTCCCACTGTCCTGTGCAGGCTGTGCGTTGGTCTACACATCTCTCACGCACACCATCAATTCATCTAGGGGACAAAACCAAGCTGAAAGTGCTTTTCCTCCCTCGCTCCCGTTGGGGAAGCCTCGGGATGTTTCCACACAAAGCCGGCGCCTGTCCTTCCCCACGAGGAGGCTTCCTCCCGCTCTTCTCCACTTCCTCCTTGGTTTGGCCATTTTTCACCCTGGCAGCTCCTGGTCCCATCCACGGCCTCCTCCTACCTCCAGCACAGGCCAGGAGGAGTGGGAGGGCGAAGGAGGCATCACTGGAGGTGCGTTTTCCTTCCTTCCTTGGCGGAGGCCGTCCCACCCTACAGGGTCACTTCCTGGGAGCTGTCTTCGGGCAGGGCAAGCGAGAGCCCGTTCACATCTGCAAAGACAGTGGCGTCAGTCCCCGGGTGGACAGCTGGCAGGGATGTGGCCCCAGGACCCTCAGGCCCTCCTACCAGGCTTGGCAGCCACTGGGGACTGTGGGGAGGGGTGGCTGACTCTGGACCCCCGGTGGGTGCTGGGTGACATCCGGCTGGGTTCTGGCAATGATGCGCTTCCCTGCCCAGGTGAGGATCCGGGGGTGAAGTGCCCCTGGAGCAGCAGCTGCTGGTATGCCCCTTCCACGTCCTGCAAGGGGAGAAGAGAGCTGCCAGGGGGGTGCAGCTAGAACCCCTCCCTGCCCCCCAACCTCTCTCTGGGCATGCCGCGTCGCCACCCATTTTGCCTCCCTCACAGGCTCACCTTGAGTTTGGTCAACTTGAGGGTGAGTTGCTCTATTGTCCGGAAGATGGCCTCCGTGTCCTGTGTGCCCTGGAACTCTGCCGGGCTGAGCCACCCTGCCGGGGTCTCCCTGGTGCTCTCCTGGCAGCTGGGCAACGGCGCCGCCGGAGGCAAAGGTGGCGCCCGGCTCAAAGCACCCCCAGTCTCCCCGACGCTCTCGGCAGCTGCTTGGGGCTCCCCAGGGTGGGCCAGCAGGCTTAAGTAGAAAGTGTTTCCTGGGAGGAGGAGGAGGAGGGCGACTCAGAGGGGCCTGTTTTGGGGAAGGGGCTCCTGGCCCTGAAAGGCCCCAGCTGGGATTCGGTTCCTTGGGAAAAACCTCTGCCTCCCCCTCCAACCGCCCCAGCTTGGCAAACTCCCCCGTTGTAAGTGCAGGCAATGGCAGCCGTGCCCAGCCTGGACCGCTTGAAAGCCCAGCCAGGCCAACGTTCCACCTGCAGCAGGTGCACAATGAGGTGCCAGGCTGAGAGGCAAGAAGCACCTGGGGAGGAAGGCGCTGCTGCTGCCGCTGAATGGCCTCCCTGCTTAAAACGCAACTCTCGGGGTTTGCAATCTCCGTTGCGGTGCTGGTTTGCCTTTGTGTGCGCCACCCAGAGCTCCGTGTGTGAGGTGGCGGTTGCACAGATTTAATTTAAGTAAAATAGCCCAGTGAGGCTGGAGGGAAACGGCCCCTCCTCCCCCCACCCCCCCACAAAGGCAGCCCCGGCACAGGGCCCTCCCTCCCTCGCCCACCCCCAGCCTCAGGGACCAGAGTGGCCCCGATTGGCATAATCTGGGGTGTCTAGTTTTTCTCTTTACCATCTGCATTAGGGGGGGCTCCGGCGTCAATTCCCGCCTGGCTGCCTTTGGCTATCAAGAGCTGAGCACTTTTATTCCCCTCCACCTCAGCTGAGCAAGAGACACCAGGAAAGAGAAAGTGGAGGGGGGGAAGATAGTTGGTGGGGGGAGAAACAAGAGTCGTCACCACGGGGAATCCCAGGAGGCTCCAGCACCCGCCACCCGCAGGAAAGCAGCCGAGAGGCAAGCAGAGGCAGGCGAGGAGGAGGAGGGGGACACAGCCGGGGGGGGGGGGGGGGGGGGGGGCGGGCCGGGCCGCCCCCTTCCCCGGGGCCCGGGGGGGGGGGGGGGGGGGAGGGGGAGCTGGAACTGCTGCAGATCAAGCCAAAGGGCCCAGCCCCTCCCCAAAGGCCACCAAGGGGGGAGGGTGCCAGGGCCCACCCCTCCTCCCTGGCGCCCCTCCCCTGCACTTACCTTTCCGCACCACCAGGTACCCGCTGGGAGTCTCCTGGGCCACAGGGGGGCCCACCTGCTCCAGACCCCCGCCAGGCCCCGGATTGCACGGGGGGCCCCAGGATGGGGAGCCAGTCATGGCCCCCTGCGTGTCCAGCTCCGGGGGGCCAGGGAGAGCAGAGGCGCTGGGGCCCTCCGAGGGGGCCACGCCCCGGTGCTGGTTGTGGCTGACCCCCGAAGGGGTGGGGGTCAGGTCATCTTCTGGCTCCGAGTCCCAGCCGGGCAGGAAGCTGTGCAGGAGGAACCTCCGCAGGGTCTCCACTGAGGGGAGAGGAGGGGAAGGGCCGCCTTCAGTCTTGCCCGCCCGCCCGCCTCCACCAGCCCCCCCAAGCACAGCAGGAGCCCCCCAGGGGCCCGGCCTGGCCCTGCTGCGCGTCCTGGGCAAAGGGGCACCTACCATCCCCCAGGGCGGATTCAGCCATGCTCCCCAAGCAGGGGGGCCTCTCAGGGGGGGTTTCTTCCAGAGGGGGCAAGGGAGGTGCCGGGGGCGGGTGGCCTTCCTCCTCCTCTTCTTCCTCCTCCTCCTCTGGGTGCCCAACTTCCAGCCGCTCTGCTTCGGTCGGAGTGTCATCTGTGAAGGGGGGGGGGGGGGCTTAGAAGCAGTTGTGGGGGAGCTGCCCCCCCCCCTCCTCCTCCCAGCCAGTGGGGAAGAACCCTAACCAGCAAATGCCCCTCCCTGCCTTTTGCTGGCGCCAAAGCCCTCCCCCCCTCTACAGCAGCTGCCTACCTGACGCCCCTTCCTCCTCCTCCTCCTCCTCCTCCTGCTCTTCCTCTGCTTCACGGCCGGGGGGGCTGCTCCCTTGGCCCAGCCGGGGGCCGATCTCAGCGTCCTGGAAGATGAAACTGTGGAGAAAGACGAGTGGGAAGAGAGGGCAGTGCCTAGGAGGAGGGGGGCCCAAGGCCCGGTCCTCCCCTCTCTGCCCCCTCCTGCGGGACTCTCGCCCACCTGCTTGGGGCCGGCCGGTGGGGACGCAGCTCCTGGGCCTGCTGCTGGGGGGGCCGTGTGGCCTTCTGCGTGGCCCTCTTGACCGCCTCTTCTAGGAGCTCCATCCACCTGCCGGGAAAGAGCAGGGGGCAGCTTTCTCAGGGGCCCCTTGGAATGGGGGGAGGGGCAGCCCCTGTGAACCCTCAGCCAGCCACGGGGGGTTGCACAGGCCAAAAAAGGAACCCCCTCCCCAAGAACGGCCCCGCCCTGCCCCCTTGCCCCTACGTGTTCTTCTCCAGGGAGGTCGAGGCGACCAGCTCGTAGATCTGGGGCCCCAGTTCAGAGGTGCAGATGATGAAGAGGGCGCGCTTGTCTGCGGAGGGAAGCAGAGGCCGGCGGGGGCCACACTCAGCACCTCCACCTTCCGCCCGAGACCCCCCCCCCGGCCTTGGAAGCCCCCTCCCAAAGCTCTGGAGCCCCCCTGGGGAGGGGGCCGGGCTCACCGGTGGCCACGGAGCGGATGAGGACGGAGCCGAGGCGGAGGACGGGGCTGAAGCTCTGCTTGGGGTCCGAGGAGCCCAGCCCTGCCCGGCCGTGGCACTTCAGCACCAGCCTCTCGTCCTGCCGCTGGAGCAGCACCAGCAGGTCCCCCAGGAGCAGCACCTGCAGGTCTGGGGAGATGGAGGGTGGGGCCTCCTCAGCCAGACTCCCACCCCTGGCCCTCTGGGGGCCCCAGCCAAGGGACAGCTGGCCCCCTCCCCCCGAGAGACCCCTCCCCTTCGGCCCCTACAGACCCACGGTCTTGTCCTTGCTGATGCGCCAGGTGAGGGGCCCTTCATGGATCATCCGGCGGCCTCGCAGGTCCAGGTTCTGGGCGGGGCAGGCAGGAAGTCAGCTGGGGCCACGCAGGGACGCCCCTTTCCCCCCCCGGCAGGCGTGGGCTTACTTTGAACTCCGCGGCGATGGGGTTGCTGGTCCGCTCCAGCGAGGAGGCGTCCAGGCGCTTCTGGTAGGACTCCAGGCGTTGCTGGTTCTCCGCCTGCTTGACCGCCTCGTTCACGTAGCGGAGGGCCTCCCGGCACTGGTCCCGGGCCCGGCAGAGCTTCTGGTGCTCCGCAGCCTGTCCTGGGGAGGGGCCGGAGAGGAGGGGTCAGCGAAGGGGAGGGGGCGGCCGTCTTGCGGAGGAGGGGGCGGCCGTCTTGCGGAGGAGGGGGTGCCCACCTGAGGAGTGCTTGATGAGGCTGTCCAGCAGCAGCGGGTACTTGGTCAGGCGCTGCATCTCGGAGATGATGAGGTCCTTCAGCTGCAGCCGGCGGCACTGCGGGTGGCTCTCGGCGTCCTAGGGAGCGCAACACAAAGCGGGCTGGGCGGGTACCCCACCAAAGCCGCCCCCCAGGTGAGTCCCAGGCCATACGAGGGGCACCTCACGGCTGTTCTTCCGGCTGCCTCCTTCGGTTCCTCCCTTAAGCACAACCACCGCCCACTCCCGGGCTCTTCCCTGCTCCCCTCCCCCCGAGGGTCCCGCAGCCCACCTGCATGAAGAGCTGGAAGCGGGTCTCCTTCCGCTTCTTGGTTCTGATCAGTTCCAGTGCCATGGACTGGTAGGCGCAGAACTCGGCAGCCACTTGCTGGAATTCCTCAAGCGCAGCCCCATCGAACTAGGGGGGAGGAAGAGGAGGAGGAGGAGGAGGAGGAGGAGGAGATGGGGTCCCCCTGGGAACCAGGTCCACTGCCACCCAGGCCCCACAGCCTCCCCTCAGTGGCTCACCCGTGAAAGCATCAGGTCTCCGACCTCCTTCACCACCGGCCCCTCTTCCCGCAGCTTCTTCATGGATTCCGACAGGGAATCTGGGCCGGAAGAGAAGGGGGGGCAGACTAAGAGGAGCCAACCCCCCCCCCCCAACACAAACACACCTGTCTCCCCAACCTCAGCCTAACCCTAACCCGACTGTGAGCCCATCCTCTAATTTCAGTCCCCCCTGAAGAGACCCAAAGTGGCGACTGTCCCCTTCTGGGACAGGGGACAGCAGCCCCCCCCCCCCCCCCCCCCCCCGGGGAAACCGCCCCCTGGCCCCCCCCCCCGCCTCTTTCTTCCCACTGTTCGTTCCCTGTGTCCCCCGAGAGCTGCGTCCGGTGGGATCCCCAGGGCCCGAGGGAGGAGGACCGGGGGGAGGGGCTTACTGTGGATCTCAATCAGCTCCGGAAGGTTGGGGAAGAGCAGAGCCAGCTCCTCCCGGGACAGCTGCCCCTCCCTCCTCAAGCGCTGGTAGAAAACCAGGTCCAGCACGCGCAGCGTCCGCAGGTGGGAAGCCTCGGTCACAAAGAGCTCTGGGGGGCGGGCATCAGGATCCGGTCAGATCCAGCTGGGCTCAGGGCTCCTCCCCCCAGGGAGAGCCCCCCACCCCCAGGGTCTCTCCGAGGACCCACCAGGTCCTCCCCCTCCTCACCATTGATGACCTCCTGGCGGTCGATCTCCCGCGGAGGCAGCTGGGTGGAGGCCTCCCGGCCCACCGTCTGCTGCCAGTTTTGGGAGTCCGGCTCTGCCTCCAGGTCCGAGAACTGTCCGAGCTCGTCCTCCAGCAAGTGGGGCAGGAAGGCCTCAGAGCTGGAGCCCAGGCTGGGTGACTCCACACTCCTGCCAGGACAGGAAGGAGTCAGGCTGGGCCCCAGGAGGAGAGGAGAAGGGGAGGAAAGCAAGCAAGGAGCTCCCCCCCCCATGGAAAAAGGGGGGGGGGGGCCGGGGTGCCGGGGGGGGGGGGGGGGGGGTACCAGCAGCTGCTGGGGGGAAAAGGAGCCGCCGCTCCCCGGGGGGGGCCCCCCCCCCGCCCCCCCCCCCCCCCGGTCTTCTTTCCACTCACCTGCGCCCCATCTTGGGAGTGTAGGGCGGGGTGGGGTTTTCCAGGGACCTGGAGACCGGGAGACATGGCAGAGTCAGCCCAGGGCAAGGATCTCTCCCCCCCTCCCCCCCCTGGGCCCAGCAGGACCCCCCCCTTCCCTTCACCTCCACGCTCTGCCCTCCCTTCAGAGGGCAACACCCGGCCGGGCTCGGACGCCAGGGAGATGCCACGGCCGTGCCACTACGCAGCTGCTCCGGCCCCTTACCGGGTGGAGAGGCTGGAGGCAGAGGACGACGCTGACTGGTGGAGCCGAGCCGCTTCCGCAGCAGCATCCATGTCGACATCGCTGCGGGAACGGGGGACGTTCTCGGCCTTGCGCAGCCGCCTCAGCTCCTCCTGCCCCTTCAGGCTCTCCGACCGGCCCAGCCGGACCTCGGCCCTGGAACTGGAGGAAGGGGGGAGCGGCTGAGGATTTGGGGTTCCCCAGCGCCTCCCCCTCCCCCCACAGGATCAGCAGCTGGGGGGGGCTCAGAGTTGGTGGTCATTAGGAAAAGAGGCCCCCCCCAGGAGGAATGGCCGGAGCCCCTCACTTTTCAGAGTCCAGGAGGTCTTCGGGGAAGCTGCCCGTGGAAAGGCGCTGCTGGCCGGACTCCTGGCCGTCGTGGCTCTGGCTGTTCTCAAAATGCTGGATGATGGTCCGCACGTTGCCGGCCTTCACTGTTGAAGAGGAAGCCGCTAAGCACCCCCCCTGCGTGACCGGCGGTTGGCCACTGAGCCCGGCCCTCCAAGAGCCAGGAGGGGGAGGGGACAAGGAGCTCCTGCAGACCCCCAGAAAGGATCCGCGACTCCTGTGCCCTGAGGAAGAGCGGAGGGAGGCCACCGGGGCTCTGCCGAGACTTCTTGTGAGGGGGGGGTAGAGGGAGAAGCCCCTCCCTGGCCTTCCCCTTCCCCCAGACCCAGCTACCCCAGGGCCCCCAAGTGCCCCAAGGCCCAAAGGTGGAGCCAGTCAGCCCATGGCCCCCCTGGATTCCAGCATCCGCAGCCATTTCAGAAGCCCCAGTGGGGACGGCCGGAAGCCCCGGAACAAACTGCCCCACCCTGGCAGAATACGGGTCCTGGGAGCTACGCTCACCCTCCCCCGTTGTGAAAGCACAGGGGGAAGGGGAGGAGGGGCAGCTGGGGGGGGGGGGAGGGGAGGGATCGTGTTTACCTTCAACGGGGGACAGGGGGACATGAAATGCTGGAAAGGAAAACAGAAATGGGATGTCAAAACCAAGTTGATGGGGCTGATGAGAGGGGCCGAACAAAGAAGAGGGGGGTGGCGGCAGGACCCGCCCGGCCAGCCTGGGTGGTGGGAGTGGGGGGATCTGGAAAGGAAGGAGGGGAGCCGTTTGCAGGAAGCCCCCTCCCCCAAGGGACTCACTGCTCTGGGAGGAGCTCTTGGGCTTGGCGATGTACTTGAGGATGGGGTTCCGCTTCTTGTCCTCCACCGCGGCCTCCTTGTCCTTCTTGCCGCTGCTGCTCTGTGGCCCCAAAGAAGGAAGAGGCGGGTCAGGGTGCCTCAAGTCGGGCTGGGGGAGGGGGGGGGCGAGGACGACAGGGTCCCGCGCTTTCCGGCTTCGCCACCCACCTTTTTGGTCTTGGGGAAGAAAGGCAGCCATTTGTCTTTCTCCTGGGACTTCTCCACCACGCTGGCCGGGCGAGCCTCCTGGGGGCAGATCCCCATGTGGATCATGTAGGTCTTCAGGGCAAAGCTCATGGGGGAGCTGCAAGGAGAGGGGAGGGCAGTCTGGCTGGAAAAAAAAAAACCAACGCAGCCCTCGGAAACCCTCCCTGTGTCTCCGGTGGGAGCAACGTCTGTGCCCTCACGGAGCTCTCCGTGGTCCTGAAGAGGCCTTGGCCGAGGTCGGCTCTCCTTCAAGGAATGAACAGTGCATTCTGGGAGAGAGCCCAGGATGCTCGCCAGGAGAAAGACCCGCTCCTTCTTTGAAGAGGTCCCAAACAGTTACTGCAAGTCAGCAAACTAGTAATTTACCAGGGATAATCTTAATCAACTTTTCAGCAATCAATTATTTAGGTTAATATTTTTGAGATGCTTTCCTGAAACTTACACAATATGAAGAACGGAACGCGTAGAAATTTTACATTTACAGGTGCTGAGTTCAGAAGAGACACTCACCTCCGATCTTCGTATTTGGATCTAAAGTAGGAGAGCAAACGTCACGTCAGATCCCTCTTAAGCTGCTCTGGCATCCCGTTTTCTTGCCCATTATGTCTAGGACAACGTTTCTTAAATTTGGCAACTTTAAGACGTGAAAACTTGAATCCCAGAATTCCCCAGCCAGCATGAATTCTGGCAGTTGGAGTTCACCATCTTAAAGCTGCGGAGTTTGCAAAGCATTGCTCTAGATGACCCCGGGTCTTGCCTGAGCCGGCCCCGGGAGAGCCCGTAACCAGGCATCGGAGCGTGGCCCTTTCAGAGGCAGGTCGAGGCAAACGCGCTGCCCGAGAGGCCAACCGCCACCTCGGCCCCAACAGACCCCCCTCGCCCACCAGTGGGACTCACAGGATGTCCCCCAGCTGCGCCAGCTGCTTCTCGGCCACCTGGCGTTCCTTCTGGAGCCCCCCGTCCAGCTCCAGCAGGTCATTCTCCCCATAGAGGCTCCCCAGACCCATCGTCCGCTTCGTCCTGCAAGCACAGAGAGGAGGGGGCCCACACGAAGGTTCGCCCTCCCTCTCGGAAACCAACCGAATCTCACTAGCTGCCCTGGGCAAAGTCCCGCTTGCAGGGCCATCCAAGCTGCTTTCCCCCTCGGCCCCTCTGGGTGGGCCCGCTGCTTCTCTCAGACCCGCTGACCTGTAATCTTGGATCTGCTCCTGGATCTCAGGCATGACGGCCTCCTGAACCTCCAAGAAAGCACTTTGGGCGTCCTCTCCGTTCCGCAGACGAGCGTCTGGAGGGCACCAGGAAGCAGAAGGTGGGTGGGCTGAAGCCCCCTTCCCCTGCTCCGGAATTCCTACAGAGGGGCACCTTGGCTGGCCTGGGCTCCCTGCAGACTCACCAATTTCCGCCAACAGCTGATCGGAGACCTTGACCCTCAGGGGCTGCAGGAGGGGCAGAAGACACAAGGTTGACCACTCACGGGGACCTCTGCGTGCGCCACTGCGCCCTGGGCGGCGTCTCCCTTTCCCCACTGGGGAACCGCACACAAGTCAGGGGTGAGCACCACGGGAGCACCGAGGCAGACGTGGTGAATGTGACCGGTCACACTCACGGCAGTTTTGTCCAAGAAAATGTGCCAAATGTCTTTGCCCAGCGCCCGGGCTTCCTTGGGGCTCAGCTGCTGGTAAACATCCACGCACAAATAGAGAAGCTGCGAGGAGAGAAGGACGGAAGCGTCACAGTAGAACCAGAAGCGGGGAGAAGATGGTGAGGATGGTCAGCGGGTGTGGAGGGGGAAAAAAATGGACAAACTGGGCAAGGAAAGGGAGCCTCCCCCGGGGACCCTACCAGGGGACTCGGATCCGCTTGAGAGAAGATGTAGCGCAGGAAGACCCCCAGGTGAGCCGGCCGCGTCTTCAGCTTCCCCAAATCTTGGAATAGAGAGTCGTTCTGCCATGCGGGGAAAGAGATGCTCAAACCAGCGCAAAGGAACCCCTCTCCACTAGGCCTCCCTGCACACCTCAAGGGCCCTCTGGGGAGCGCCCCACTTTCGGGGGCCTTTCCCAGCAAAAGCTGTAAAGAGCAGCGGATTCCCCCCTCCCCCCTTGGGGGCTGGAGGGTCCTTTGGGAATGGCGTGAAGGGGGCTCTGGGAGCACGAGAAAGCAGCCCACCTCCTTGTCCAGGTATCCTGGTTCGTAATCCTCTTCCGGGCCGATGATGGACGTTCGCAGCATCTGATCCAAACTCTGCAGAACAAAAGGGATTAAAATCTTCTCAGAAAAGAGACGGAGGTGCTGTAAAGGAGGAGGAGGAGGAGGAGGAGGAGGAGGAGGAGGAGGAGGAGGAGGAGGAGGAGGAGGTGGAGGAGGAGGAGGAGGAGGAGGAGGAGGAGGAGGAGGAGGAGGACAAAACAGCTGCGCCCTTGAACACCTCCATGTTCAGGCCCCAAAGAGGGGCAGGAAGTGGAAGGCACCGCCTGAGGCGGCTCCTGTGGACTGGCCCCGCCTGCCCTCACCTGCTCTGTGGAGGGCGAGAAGGGGGTGTCGGAGCCTTGGCGGCGATGGTGCATGAAGAGCCGCGAGGCGGCAACGGGTGAGGTGTGTGGGCTGTCTAGGCCAGGGTCGGAAAGGACGGAGTTCCGGTTGAGGGAGACCTGCGCCAAGAGAAACCGGCACTCTCAGATCAACTGACACGGGCTCGCTCCCTGGCACCGCGGGGAGGAGAAGCCCCTCCGCGCTCACTTCGCTCACGGAAGGGAAGCGCTCCGTGCCCGAGTCCAGGCCGCTGTCGCCATCCTGGGAGTCGACGGAGAGGCCCCCTGCAGGAGACAGAGAGAAGCCCTGGCTCAAGAAGGAACCCTGCGACAGGGGGCCGTGGAGAGGAGGGGAGGCTCCCTGAGAGCCAGCAGGCAGACGCTCTGAGCACCCCCCACCCCCCCGGGGCCCTTCCACTCAGCCAGTCTACGGTTCTCAAAGGGGGCAGCAGCAAAACTCACCCTCCATCACCCGGGAGCTGAAGGAGCCGGAATCGCTGGGCAGCCGGGGGGCGTCCTGGGAGGGAGAGAGCCCTGTGGGTGCTTCCATAGCCAGGAGGCCCAGCCAGGCCCAAGGACCCTCCCTCCCTCTTCCTGGCCCCTGCAGGCCTTCGGGGAGCCAGCCCCCTTCCCCGCTCACCCCCAGCTCTCCCATCTCCTGCCAAATCTTCAGCTGCAACTGGCTGACCCTCCGCCGAGCCCCCTCGATCTGCTCCTCAAGCAAAGCAGCCGGATTCTGGCTGTAGATCTCGTAGCACCGCTGGGGAGAAAGCCAGGGATGGGGGGCTGTCAGGGGCTTCCCTCCCAAAACGCTCCTTTCCTTGGGGAACGGGAAGCATTTCAGCAGCCTGACTACTCCCGCTTGCTGCTACTCGGCCAGGCCAGGAGGACCCAGGCCCGGCCCCTGCGGGGAACCTGACCCAGCCTTCCTCGGAGGAGCCCGGCCCACACCTGCAAGTCGGCCTCTTCCTGCCGCAGCATTTTCCTGAGGATCTGCGCCGCATGTTTCCGGACTTCCGGGTCCTACGGTTGGCAAGGCCAGAGAGAGGTGAGCCTGGGGCTCCAGTGCTGCCCCCCCCCCCCCAGAACCGACTCTGCCCCGCCTGCACCTCCGTGGTACCTGGGGTGGCTTTGGCCCAGCGGTGACCCGGTGGGGAGACGGCGGCAGTGGTGGCGGTGGCGGGGGGCACGTGCAGGTGGTCGGTGGGGGGCCTGCCTGTGGCCGGTCGGGCTGCAGTCCCAGGAGGCCCAGAGACGAAGGCGGGGAGCCCAGCAGGGTGAGAGCCACGTAAGCACCAGCTTGGGGAGCAGCGGGCGGGGCAGGAGGAGCAGAGAGAGCAGCACAGGGAGACCTTCAGCCGCGTCCAACGGGGTCTCCCCCCCCCCCGGGCCACGCAGCCGCTGTGGCTCCAGGCTCCAGCCTTCCCCAGCCCCGAGCCCGGCCCACTCACATCGGATGAGCTTGACCACTTCCAGGTGGGAGGTGTTGGTGACCACGGTCCCGTTCACCTGCGGAGAGAGTGAGGTCAGGCTCAGCAGCCGGCAGGGGAGCCACCCGGGAAGGGGGGGGCAGAGTCGGCCCTCCCTGAGGAAGAGACGAAGGCGGCAGAAGCCCAGCAGCTGGGGCAGCCCTGGGAGACGCCGCTCACCTTGACGATCCGATCGCCTTCCTGCACCCCGGCCTTCATGGCGGCTCCGCCTGGAGAGGCGACCAGAGAGAGAAAGCCATGGGGGGGCTGGGGGGCAGGGGGAGTAAGAGGAAGGGGGCAGGGAAGCCATTGTGGACGGGAGGGGGGAGGCTGCCTGGGGGGCCTTCAACAGCCTTGGGAGCAGCCGCCAAAGCAGCCCGCTTGAGGGCTGCGGAGTGGCCAGCTCCCCTCCGAGCCCAGCTCTGCCGGGGCCCTGGGGGTGAGGCAGAGGAGACCCCCACCCCCAGAGGCCTCTGCTCACCTGGCCGGACGGACTGCACCAGCACAACACGGTCCCCGCTGACGGTGAAGCCGAAGCCCTGCTCGTCCTTCTGGATGATGACGCAGCGCTGGACAAGCCCTGCCCAGGCAAGAGAGGCCCCTTGGTCCACACCCCCCGCAGGGAAAGGCCTCCCCCCGTTCCCCCCCCACCCACCCACCCAGGAAAGACCAGGGCTGAGCAAGGGGGCCTCCCTGGCAGGATAGGCCTGAACCGGGCCTTGATGGAGCAGGGAACACGGTGCCAGCCTCCCCCTCCCCAACGACCCCCCCCATCCCAGCTCAGCCCCAGGGCAAACTCTGCCCCCCCGCCCCCCCCCAAAGGAGCAAAGGAGGCACCTGTGCTCTCGCCTGAGTCGGAGGTCTGGCGATGGTGGCTGGGCGAGCGCCGTTCCAGAGCCGAGTCGCCCAAGGAAGACAGGGAGCCCAACCTGGACGGAGAGAGGAAGGGGCAGCGGGAAGGCAAGGCTGCAGCCCGTCACTCTGGCTGCACCTGGAGGGTCTCCCCTGATGCCCCACTTCCTCCCCACAGGGCCCAGTGGAGGCCAAGAGGAAGCTGGAGAAGCACATCTGAAGACCTGGAGGCCCGCACTGACCCACTTCAGCAGGAGCTTCGGGCGGGGGTCCTGGGCCTTGACCTCTCCGCCCCCGAGCCTGGGGGCAAAGGTCAAATGGACCTCCTCCTCCTCAGCCAATGGGGGGGGGGCAGCTTGGTCTTGTCCAAAATTACGAAGCTCTGGACCTCAAGAAGGCACCTTCTCCTTGGATGGACTTGCAAGGGTGGGGGGGGGGTGCAGGCGGGTCCCCCCCATCCTTCTGTAGCCTTGCCCCCCCCCTTCTCCCACAGCATCTAATCTGGGGGGGGGGGGGGGATAGCCTGGGAAAGGGGTTCAGCTTGCCACCAGCGGGGCTAAGGAGCCAAGGGCGAGATGCTCGGGGGGGCAAAGCCAGGCCAGGAGGAGGGGCACTTGGAGGGCCAAGGCAGGCAGCGGGAGCAGCAGGTCTGATCTTACCAGGCAGCCGTGGGGCTGACGGAGGAGGGCACACAAAGCGGCAACGTGCAGAAGGACAGACAAGAAGGGAGAGTTAATGCCCACCACTGAATGGGCAGGAGCTGCGGGAGCCCCCATCTCGGCCTCCTCCACTCCTTCAGAGGAGGGGTGTCCCACCCTGGCAACTGCCAGCTCTCCAGTGCCCTCAGCCAGCCATTCCAACCACGGCTTTCAAGGGTTTTTCAATCCACGCCTTTCAGGCCTCTGATCAGACTTGGCTTCGGCCTGCTGCATTTTTAGTAGACGTTATTAAGCCAAGTTTAGACTTGTTCCTACTCAGGCGTGGAGATGGGGGGGGGGGGCTTCTGGAACCGGCCAGAGGCCTCCACCGTCCATTCTGCAGCTCCCACTGTGCTCCCACCAAAGGGCATTAAAAGAGGCCGCTGCTGGCCCCATCTTTCTAGCAGCAATTGACCCTCCTGGGGCTAGCTGGCTCACACCAACCCAGGGGCCAAGGAGCACCCCCAGGGTCCAGAGGGCCCTTGCAGCAGCCTTGGCACCGGTGGTCTCCACAAGTCCCCCAGAGATCTGTTGGTGGCCGCTTGGGGCCCCCACCTCAGTCCTCTGCAAGGGCTCTGGAATTGTATTATGCAAATGACCTGGTTTGGGGGGGGGGGGAGAACCGGCATTTGGGCAAGGGGGCTGGAAACAGGCAGCAGCCAAAGGGGAGGGGCTGACCCATATCCTCGCAGCTGAGCCATCTTTTGGGGGACCCAGCGGGGAGGGGCTACTGTTTGGGGCAGCCCCCCCCCGGTGACAAGAGGGGTCCTTACCTGGGCAAGCGAGGGTGCCTTTTACTGGCGCGTCTGGCGGAAAGAGGAGAGAAAGAGAAACCAAAGGGGACCAAGGCAGCATGGAAGGAGACAGGCGGGCGTGAAAAACAGGCGAAGCGGCCCTGGGCGGCCTTCTCTTGCCCCAGCCGCTCTCCTTCCACCCACCCAGCTGCCTTCCACAAAACCCACAGACCCCCCCCATTTCTCTCCGCCTGCAAACAGGACTGGTGAGGCCAAAGGGTTTCTGCGCTCGTACAGAATGCTTCCTGCTCTTGGCCCCTTCAAAAACAAACCCAGAGCACGCAGACCCTAACCCACGGCCAGCCTTCCCCTCTCCTGCTGGAAATCCAAGCCGAACTAAAAATAACCCTTGGCCGCTGCGCAGCAAAGCATGTCTGGGGACAAAAAACAGGCCCTGCTCAAAGGAAGGGAAGGCCCGGTAGGTCCCTGCGCTGCTCCCCAGGCCCGGCTCAGCGGCAAGCGGGAGAGCAGCGCAAGGGGCACCCCAAAGAATGGCAGCCCAGCTCCCCAGGCCCAGGCCAGGACCCGGTCGTACCGTCCCGCTTCCATTGGCCCACCAAGTCCAAAGGGAGGAAAGAAAGAAAGCTGGAAAGAGAAGCAGGCTGGGAGGTGGCTTTAAACACCTGCAGTTCATGAGGACTAGAAGCATTTCTGCTTCAAGATAAAAAGAAGAACTGGGAGGAGGGGCCATGCTGAGAAAGTTTTTTTAAAAGAAGAGAATCCAACTGGCCCATGCTACAAATGTTCACACACCCAGCAACTAAGACCCCACTTCTGAACGGCAAAGAGGACTCTGGGGTTTCCCCACCTTGCATCGCCATAAAACAAAACACCTCTAAGCCTTCTGCCCCCCCCCCCCCCCCCCCCCACCCACCCTCAGAGGGAGAAAACCAGCCAGAGCCAAAGAGGGGACGACTTCAAGAGCATCTTCCAAACTGAACAGCAGAGGGGTTTGTGCAGAAAGGGGAGGGGGAGCCTCGAAGCAGCCCCCCCCCCCAATGCACACGGTCCCCTCACAAGAGGGGCAACACTGCCCTGTCCACAGAGGGCTGCGGGGAGGGGGGACACAGGGGCTGGTGCAGCTCAGGCCCAGCGCTCTGCTGCAGCAAGCAGATTCCTGCAAAGACGGAAAGTCGGCCAGCAACCACAATTACAGGCGGAGAGAGGTAATTACGTCTCCCTCCATGGGCTCAGCATCCTTTACCTCCCCCACTGCCCCCCACTCATGTTGGGTCTTGGGGCGGGCTGCATTTTCAAAAATCCTGTTTCTCTCCAGTGGGAAGTTGGACTCAGCAATCTCAAGCAATAGGGGTCTCCAGCAGTCCTGGGACAGACGGACGGACGGACACACACACACATCTGCGGGAGGGTCGAGGGTCGTAGGAGGGACTCAAGGACATTGTTGGGTCATCCCTGGTCTCAACACATCTTGGGATCTCTCTCTCTCTTTCTCTCACACACACACACACACACACACACACAGAGCCCCCATGATGGCTTGCTTAGGCTGGGTCTGTAGGGTCCCTCACCGTGGCTCAGCTCACACAACCTGCCAAGTGAAAGGCACTAACCGCACAATGGCCTCATTTGGGGGGGGAGGGGGCTGGGGGGGAAAGAGAGCCCGTCGGAAACTCGATCCGGGGACGTGTCCTCGATGCCTCCCCACCAACAGCTGCCTGGGAATTGTGGGGGCTGAAGTCCGGCACATCTGGAAGGAGGCTGGCTGGGGGAAGGAGGGCGAGGGCAGGCCTGGACAATCCCAGACACGCCGCCGTTCACATGGAAGGCCGTTCAGGCCCCGTCCAGAGGGGATTTCCTGGGCTGCAAACACCCAGCAGCCTCTCCAAATTCCGAAAGGGCAGAATGAAGCCCAGCCCGGCCTCTTGGGCCACAAAGCCTGTTTCAGCTGACCCTCCAGCAGTTGAAGACATGACAAAAACTCCAGATTGCCAAGACAGAGAGGCCAGAGCTCCAAATTCTGCCCTCCTGGTGACATGCAACATTTAGGGACCCA